CGCCCCCGACCCTCCTTGGGAGTCCAGCACCTGCACTTCCCTGTGGAGCGCAGAGCACCGGAAGGACATCAGCAACGACAAGCCAGGTGAAATACTAGACCGGAGATGGGTTTTAATGTTGCACACCTGATATCATAAACGGGACTGCGCAGGTCATGCGATCCGTGAGCAAAGGCACAGTGGGAGCCGTTCTTACTGCAGTGGCCTTTCGCATCCGTTTCGTGGATACAGGATCCGGTCTTATAATAGCGGAGGTGGTATCTCCGCTCGGTGTCGCCCGCAGTTCGATGCAGGAAGGGACATCTAGAGTGAAACACACACACAAAAGAAAAGTCTTATAAAAGACCTGTGCCAGAGAATACACATTTCCTGGTTCCTCAAGGAGGATCTGAAAATTGTCTATTAGCACAAATTTAAACACATTTAAACATTTGTATAAATATGGAGAAACAGGCTATAAACAACCATTTGGTTGAAAATATAAAACTTTTAGCAGGATGTCTTCTTGCTGTTTGGGTTCACAAAGATTAGTAAGCGTCTGGGTCCACTTCAAATCCCGGCAGCCAAATTAAAATAAAGAATATTTCAATATTCCGGTACAGCGAATGCTAGAAACTGCCAGATTAGCATAGCAAAAACTCCACAGTCACAACCTGAAATATCTTTTCAGTCTATTCTTTTCACAGTTTTTGTGTGTAAATGTAAACATCAATTCCCCACTAGGGACAAAAAAGGTGCAAAAGCTACTTGGGAAGATTATGCATGACACAGTAAGTCGAAAGAAAGTAGCAATAGTCGAGTGAAAATAGACTTTTTGAGTAGTTACGACCCACGTTTGTTGGAGATGCATGTGCGAAGTTCCAGATAAATAATGATAAAGTGTTTCGAGAGGATTCTACAAAAAACGTGTCACTGGGTCATAGAAAGCAAAACGATGACAAAAATTACTCGTTAAATGACCTGAACTAAATTTTCTATGATAAACAACGCAAACACAGAGAAAGTTTGTCAACTCCAGGTTACTTTGTTGCCATTCTTGACATTTTTATCCTCGTGAATTGAAAAAAAAAAAAAAAAAAACACCCAAAACAAACAAACAAAAAACTACATTCTCAAGAGTATTTTAAGAAGATGGAAAAACCTTAGCAATACTCACTCATCTCCTTCTGTACATGTGCCTGTTCCCTCATCGTATTTGGTACAGTAGATGTCTGGACTGTAGTTGAACGTCCCGTCCCGTCTGCGGATGGGCCTGCGACGCCGCTGGTTCAAGAAATGCCAGTGGAAGCAGGAAAAAGGCCGGTGCTGTGTACATTTGTGCTGTACAAACAGGGGACACTGCTCTGTTCTGAACTCTTTGAGATATCTGGAAAGCAAGCAGACAACAGGAAGGAATGTGAATAATGTCTGTGCAACATTATTATCATTTTTTTTTAAATCAAAACCTGAATTTTAAAATATGCAAACAGTTTGTCTACATAAAGCTACAATATTCACATCCCTTACAGATTTCTTCATATATTATTGCATAAAAATTTTAAACCTCAATGTTTTTTTTTATTGGAGTTTTGAGCACAAAGTAGAAAATAATTGCGTAGTGGAAGAAAAAATATGTTTCATGCCCATGCATATGTGCAGTTTATGAGAAAGGTAAGGTAGAAATAAAAATGTGGAGAATGAAAAAAAAAAAAAACACACAAGGTCCCATCTTCAAATGTGCTACAAGGAATGTAGAGAACACAACAAATATTTGGAAGGAGGTCCTCTGGCCAAATGATAGAAAAACGTAAACTTTTGGCCAACATGGAAAATGCTATATGAAATCCTGACCCCAAAGGGTTAAACATGGTGGCAGCAACATCATGATGTGGGGATGTTTTTACAACAGGGACAAAAATGTTGGTCAGAATGGAGGCTTGAGGTTAAACAAACATTGATGAACATTTAGTAAGCATACCAGATGGTGGCTAAATAGATACAATATTCTACCAACGCTTTGGAAATTTTCGTTGTAATATTTAGTTCCCATTTCACAGAGAAATCTCAACGAAATAAGTTGAAGTTCTAGGTGATAATGGGACTAGATTTGAAAAATCCAAGGCACTCTACCAATAATAGCCAAAACTAAAGCTAGCATAAGCTTCAACAAATAGTTATCATAAAATACGTGACTGCGGAATTTACTAAACAATGATCAAACCTAAATTGATGCAACAGTGTCACGCGGGGTCACAGTTAAAATCCTATATTACTCAACTTTTCAGAACTGGTTACTGAGTAACATTAGGCCTCTTCATTAGGACCAGAACACACTGGCTTACGAGCCTCTTTACTTCACTCCAAACATTTGAAAGTTTTATGACGCAACCACCGTCCGTAGTAAGATGTGTGTATTTTTGTGTGTGGCAATGCACGTGAGATTGTGTACACCCAGCCAGCTAACCCCGCTAACCAGCTACGTACGTGTAATGTTGAGGTTTCTCGGGCTGTACGTTCAACACGGTTGCGGGCGACGTTGAGCCTCCTGCGGGCGAAGACGACGAGGACGAAGACGGCCCCCCTGTAGCGGTCGTCGCTGCCGAAGACGACGCGGGCTGTGAATTTGTTTTAGACATTTAGCCAGTCTGAAGCCCAACAACAAGAAGCTTGTTTTTAGCTTACTGGCTAGCTACTCTTTTTAGCTTCGAAATCCGCATTCTCCTACGATGTGAGCTTGCGCAAGACGAGAGGAAATAGTAGAAAAGAGGATGCAGCACGGAACTATGGGACGTGAAGTTCAAAAATAATCCATATAATACTTGTTCAGCTCAAATGATATTTGGTATTTATTTTAGTCTACAAGTTAAAACAGCATATACAGCTTTTAGAAGAGCGAAATTCAAACCTATTTGAATCACGAATTGTCGTACATTTTTATATTAAACTTGCTTGCTGTAATCTGATTGGCTGCGCCATATCCCGTTTGGAGTACAAGCCAATCGTGCTCAGTCTGCGAAAAACATGACGTCACGTTGAAGTATTAATACACGGCTTCGTTCACTCTCGTCTATAGTCGTTTCAGCGCCGTATAACAGCGGAGATACGTCTGACGCAACAACTTCTTCGTATACCGTCAACTTAAAAGGTAATACAACCGTTTAATCGTGCCTTCTAAGATTGGCGTAAATTATCTGCGTTTGCTTTGACTTTTCCGAGGGTCTCTGATCGTCTACAGTTGTTGGCCCAACATGTCTACCCGTTAGTGGACGCTAAAAATAGAACAATGGAGGCTCTCAGGGTGACGTTTTTCGGTACTTATCTACAAGCAGTGGTTCAAAACTAAACGGAGTAAACGAACCAGCTTCCAGTGCCGCCACTTTAATTTGCCGGGACACCGGTCTAAAATGCTAATACTTCAGTTAATGGCGCTTGCGTTGAGTCGGGAGTGTTTGGTTTGTTGTTTTGTTTTTTTCAGGACGAAACTGGAAATGGCGAGGTCGAGGCAGATCCGCGCTGCTCGGGGCGCCATTTATTTTGATCCGTTCAGTTTTTTAGTTAACCAACAGACATTAGGTGTGTTATATATAACGTCGGAGTAACTGGTTTTAAACTGCCGTATGGTTCTTTATTTACACTCAGAAAAGGAAGCGGGATAACCGATGTTTGTAAACGTGTATTTATGAACGTCTGCTGCTGTTGTAGCCCGGCGCCTCCCATGGCCGCAACGTTGGGGGAGGGGAGCGGCGTTAGCTAGGCTAGGTTTAGCATTGTGTTTACAAACGCGAAAGCTTTCCTTTCCGTCAACCCCCCTCCGACTGTCGAGTCTGGGTTTAAAACATATCGGCTTTTTAAATTAATGCGCTTCTATTGCAAATTTCAGGTAATACAATATGGCTCGTACCAAGCAGACCGCCCGTAAGTCCACTGGAGGTAAAGCGCCAAGGAAGCAGCTCGCTACCAAGGCTGCCAGGAAGAGCGCGCCCTCTACAGGAGGCGTGAAGAAACCACATCGCTACAGGTACGTCATATGTTTACGTTAGTATAACCTACTTAACCGGTTGTTGCAACAAGTTGAAGGAATTTTGAAACCACTTTTTTTTTTTAAATAATTTTTGCAGGCCCGGCACTGTGGCTTTGAGGGAGATCCGTCGCTACCAGAAGTCCACGGAGCTGCTTATCCGTAAGCTGCCCTTCCAGCGCCTGGTGAGGGAGATCGCCCAGGACTTCAAGACTGATCTTCGTTTCCAGAGTGCAGCCATTGGCGCTCTCCAGGTGAAAAACTTGAAGCGAAGCTAATGTGAAATGATGTAAATGGTACAATTGTTTATCTTTTTTTTTTTTCTCCCCCTCCTCTCATCCTTTCCAATAGGAGGCAAGCGAGGCATACCTGGTGGGTCTCTTTGAGGATACCAACCTGTGCGCCATCCACGCCAAGCGTGTCACCATCATGCCCAAGGACATCCAGCTGGCTCGCAGGATAAGGGGAGAACGGGCCTAAGGGGCCGCTCGCCTGTTTCGTTTGAACAAATTGTCCTATTTATCATACTTATCCATTTTGTGGACATTTTTATTTCTTTTTTTTTTAAATATATATATATATAAGTTCTTCTTGAATTTTTTTGTATTTTTAGTGATGCAGCATACCAACCATTCCACAAGCCCAAGTTGCACCATGGACATGATTTTACCGTTTTTGGGTAGTCAGGCTAAATGTAATGACGTTGGGGAGGTCTCCTTTTATTGACGGAGCAGTCTAAAATCTTTTGACGAGAATCAAATGCTTCACACCCTAACGGGAGCAGCGTTTCTTTACCTAGTTGCTATTGATCAGAAAATGCCAGCATGCCATCCTGGGTGCGCCTCGCCACAGCGTCAGAGCGTCAGCTGTCCCAGTTGATCCTCTGTACGGTGTGAGGGAGCACTGCAGATCCCGTGATTTAATTTTTTTTCTGGGCCGCTTTTTATCTCAAACACAAAATCTTGGCAGCTACATTTAATACTATTTATGAGATGTTGTCACATGTCTTTCTATTAAAGGTCTTTATGAATACAAAGTTGTGTCTTGTGGTGATATACAGACAATAACACAGTTTTAACATGTTTTTTTTTTGTTTGTTTTTTTTTACATGGGTGAGTTGATCGGTGGCTATACAAACCATTCTGTATGCTTGAACCCAGCAGCTGTAAAAACACAGAAAGGAAAATGTTTTGACGTCAAGGTGCTTCTAAAATTGGAACAAATTGCAAAGCCTGCTAATGCGATATGGAATACTGTTGGGATTTACCTAAATGCTGCATCAACATGGCATATGGGTAAACCTGATTTGTAATGGAAGCCTGGGTCAATACTGGTCTTAAGCTCATAGGGCTGATTAACATCTTACCAATAGTCTAAAAAGCAGGAGAGTCTAAACTAGTCTGTGGGCAGTTTTGTAAACTTTGGCCTGATTAAACACCTGTCAAGCAGGTTATAAGTGATGTAGACTTTTTTTTTCTTACAATGGCAAATGTTTAGACCACAAGGTATTTGGGTTTTTAGAATCAAGCTTTCATTACATGTATCCAGAGAATTTTCTTGGTAAACTTTGCACCACCTAAAAAATGTAAAAAAGCGACCCAAATCCTGTTTAAAACTCAAATCTACTTGTGTGAGCCAGTTTTCAATAATTTGGAAACAAAATGCCTTTCAGCACAGGCAAAATCCATTTTAAATTTGGAGTTTAAAATCAAACACCCCTTCAATAAAAAACTCAAATTTGCCTCATTTCAGTTAGGCAGCAGGCCTCACCAATGCGGCAGACTATATCCTCGCACTCCTTCATGCTGCCGGCTTTGAACACAACGCAACAAAACCCAGAGGACTGAGGGGTTTCTGGAGAATCTCTGTGAAAGAAAAGGGGAAAAAATGCGTTATAGAAACAACCTCAACTTAAAGTGAAGGTTGTTTTGGGCGTGTCGGTACTTACGCCACGCAGAAGGCGAATATCGTGTATCCGGGTTGAGCAAACCTCCCTACGCAAGAAACCTCTGGGTAGTGATGCTCAAACAGCTTCTGAGGAGACATGGATACAATAAATGTACGATAGAGGAGAATTTAACGTTATTGCGCTATTTTCTTCTTACCATTGTACTATTTCGGTCCGTACACGTCAAATGTGTTTCCTTTAGGTCTAAGAGCACCTCCTAAGAGATACGTCACACTCAGCCCATGATAGTCCAACAGCATATTTTACAATGTGTCTGCAGGCATTTGAGTCACTTCTCACCTTGCTTGGCTGGTTTTTATGCAACACCTGAGGAATTGCATGCTGCAAGACTTCCTTTCCTCCAAACTAAAGGGGGAAAACCAGAAGTTGCATCAGTTTTAGCAAACGTGAGCAGCATTTTCGAGCAGAAAAGATTACCATTCCGATGTTTGCTTTCCCCAAGTACTTCACAATGTAGACGATTCTGTCGAGAAATTGGCAAGTTAAGTGAGTTGAGGTCAAATCTATGAGCTCTGGATAGGCCGTGTGAACACCTGCCTTCCCTCTTTGAGGCACTGGGAGGCGCCGGGAGGCTTTTGACTGACGTTGGCTTGCTTTTGTTGGGGAGAGAGGCCGAGCTGCGCGTTGGGGTTCTCCATCCTCAGGGCCTTCAAGATTTTGACGAGGGGACGATATATCGTTCCGTCCTGGGCCCTGCATCGCAGAATACGGATGGACAGAGGGCAGCCCTTGAGACTGGACAGAAGAACGCCTGCCTGGAAGCAAGAAGAAATGGCAGAACGCATCAGACCGCAAAATAAAAGGTCGAGGTTCGCCTTGATACAGATGACACTTTTCTATCCGCAGCTAATGAAGACAAAAGAAAGGCAGTGATTTCCTCACTTGTCCGTTTTTGCAGTTTCTCAGGGAAGACCCATTGATCTCATCGATGATGTCACCAGAGGAGACAAACATGTCAACATGAGCCTGGCTGCCAGGCACCAAGTCCAGGACGAAGACACGCCCGCTTAGATACCTGGAGGGGGAGGGAACATGGAGGTGACGTTGCACAAATTGTTGTTTCTTTGTACGGGGTTTAGATACAAACCTTAAAACCATCCCAACTTCCCGACAGGGCACGACTTCATAGGTGTCACACACCTAGAAACAAACAATCTGTCACATTCTTCTGTCTGTCACTATGTCAGTTTTCCCAAAATGCATTCCTGACTTTGGATTCTGTAAACTTTTTGCGGAATTTTCCACATTGTAACCTCAAGTTCAGTGAATTTAGCGTGATTCTATGTGATGGACCATCAAATAATAGTGCGTTATTGCATATTTATTGTTTAATAACAGTAACTAGTGCCAAAAAACATAATAATAAAACTAGCAATTTTTTTTAAGTTTTGGCAGTATTTTTTACGTAATAATTGTATAAAATTTCCACAACAGAAGGTCACTTAAAGTACCAGCAACATTTTTTTAACTCAACTTTTCTTGTTATTTAAGTTAGAAAATGTGTTCATCTTTTGCAAAAATGAAATATTGGTTATTTAAGAAGAATAACCAATATTTTTTGCAGTAGATGTTCGAACTGACATGCGACATTTGCATCTTTAAGTGAATCTTATTAAGCTGGACTGAGGGCAAAAATGACTTGGTTGTAAAAGTCGCAGACCCCTGGTCTAAAAACACGACATATAGATTAAATACATGTGATTTTGCAGTTCTAACAAGACAAAATACAGAAAAATAAACTGGAAATAAAAAGACAGTGCTAGTTTCCAGACTTTATTCAATATTGTTGCGGTGCTCTTACCGGTAGCAGCCAGCTCTCATCTAGAAAACTACAGTTCTGTTTGAAGAGAAGTGAAAATAAATAAATAAATAAATAAGTACTGGAAAAAGTGAGAGTGTCACCACATTACATGTTGTAGTTTTTCACTGACCTCCATGTCCAGCTTGAACTCCATGTGAGAGAGCACCAGCAGCAGCGACATGAACGGCTCTGGGGGACACAAAAAACAAAAAAACTAAACAAAAGCAGAGTTCAAACTGAAATGGTTGTCCTGAGCTTTGACTAGGCCACTCCATTTACTAAACGTCTCACCGACAAAATCCTCATTCCTGAGGATCGATAACGTGGGACTGTACCACTGTAAACGGAGGATGAACAGACGTATAAGTGAGGAGTAACGGATCAGCGAAAGCAAAGCGTTGGCAGCGTGTCTGACCTCCAGAACTCTAGGCGTGTGCAGCAGGTGGGTGAAGAACTGCGACAGAGCCTTGCGGCCGAGGGCCAGCCGCAGCAGGTAGCGGCCCCGGCCTTGGGCTGAGATGAGCTTCCTGCAAACTCTGGTCTGCTCGACAGCCAGAGAAAGAGCAGAGAGCCTGAACAAGGAAGGGGTAAATAAAGGATGTTAAGAAAAAATATTGGTGATACCAAGTCAGTATCGGATCGGTGCGAGCACGGAAAGATCGATGCTGCAGTTTCAGATTCCATCTTGAAGTTCCGTTTTAATTTTGCGATGCAACTCGATGCCCCGAAAAAGATTTGATTTGTTTATTTAGCTCCCAAGTTATAATTTTTTCACTTATTTTGTTTCATTCTGAGAAAAAATGCACAGAAATCATGTTATTAAAATACTTTGAAGATCCCTAAGGATTTTTGATTTGAACAAAATAACTGAAAGGAAGGGGGAAATACATAAAATCAGGTCATAAGAAGGTCAGAAGTTTGATGGTAGTAAAACGTCTTGGTATCAGTACTGGTTTTGGCAATACTTGGTATCGGTTTGATATGAAAATATTGCACATTTCTACTGTCAAAAGGTTCTTGTCTGTAGCTTTTTGCTTACATTCCTATCCTCCATTTGCACATTTTCCATGAGGACTTTGTGTGTCTGTGTGTGTGTGGGTGTGTATGTGTGTGTTTAATAACATTTGTTTCGTTTTTTTAAGAAGCCATTGTCTGTAAAACTGAATAATTTTTCAAGCCGGTGTCTGTGGTTTTTCACTTCCAAATCCAACTGTTCTTGTGCAAAATTGGTTATTTTGTAATAACTGAGCAGGAGTAATTTAATACCAACTAAACACCTTCTTAAATTAAAAACATGCGCAGATGTCCTATATCTCAAGAATCCCCGACTATCATTTATTGAATACATTTTATGTCCCTTATGGTTGTATCGTATCTACTAATATGTAACACTTTGGATGGAGTGGCTTGTGAGCAAATAAGCAATTTCCTGCTGGGAATCGATAAACGTGTATTCCACATCAAACTCAGCAGAAACACAACAACAACAAACTGCAGGCAGCTCCTTCTACCTGCCACAGGTGTCTTGATGAGGAAGTTGCTCGAAGCACTGCCAGTAATCTCTCTGGACCAGACTCAGGACCGGCTCTGAAGAGAAACGTTCAAAGGCATTTAGAGGTCAAACACCCTTACAGGAAACGGTGGGAGGAGGATTGAACGTGGAGCAGGATGCTCACGCTGCAGCCCCTTCCTGAGGACCAGCTCCAGCAGCTCGCAGCAGGAGGGGAGGTGAGGACTGGAGTCCGTCACTGCGCCTCCGTCTGACTGCATGTTCAGGAGACACACTGACACACACACACACACATTGGAGATTGAAACGCACGGACAACGTCACATTCAGTGGGTTGATGTGGCTGTAGCAGGGTCAGCTGTCTGCTTATTATAATGGCAGGGAGAACAGGTTCTTGTTTACAACCCGAAACAGCTGAGATGAAGCTGAGACGTTGATGGAGGAACGTCACACCAGTCACGAGGACGCTTACCTTTGAGGGAGGCGAGCAGAGGATCTCTGGGTGCCATGTTGGGATAGAGGGAGCAGCAGCAGCAGCAGGTGTTCCGGTGTTTATCAGGGCGGCTGCTTATCGTTCAGCCGCAGGGAGACGCACAGCGTTCGCACTTCCGCGTGGCAAATAATACAGGAGAATATCCTGCCCTTCCCACGGCACCTGTCCGACAGCCGCTCCGCGATGACACGTAAATGGCAGTAACCCGCAGCCTGCAGCTGGGGGCGCTGTTGCCGCAAGAGAGAAAATTAAAACAGCCGTTTTATTTTTGATAAACTTCGTTCCGGTTTGGTTACGTTTTTGTTTTTTTAATCATCGTTCATACATAATTTAATAAAATGTATGTGGTTTTGATTGTTTTGAAGGTGAGGTCCTGTTACGTCATTATGAGGTGTAAGTAAACTGTCACGTGACCTTGCCAAGCCTCACACACTGGTGCCCCCTACTGGCTCGCTTTTCTTAAGCAGCAGCTGGCTGGTTTGCTTATGCATTGAGCCAGCTCTGGCTAGTTTGAAAGAGAGAAGGAAGCAACATATAAATAAATAAATTCAAAGAATGTCAGTAAACTTTAAGCACTGCAAACAAGAAAACCTTTATGTTGTACATTTTAAATAAATGCTGGTTCCAAAATGTGTTTATCCATAGCTTTTTCATGTGGCCCCTTGTAGACTAAACATTTGACTGATAACATTACATTTCATGCTATCAATCAAATCAATGTGGTTTTTAATCCATTCAGAGGAAACGTGCTCTTGATCCCAGACCGAAGTGGTTATTTTTCTTCCGAACTGACAGCAAGATGAAGCACGCATTAAGACAACAACGCATTGGCGGTAGAAGCAGCCAGAGAATGTCCTTAAGTGATTAAGTGATCCAGACAGAGCTTGGATTTAAACCCAATAGAAAATCTCTGGAGGGACTTAAACCTGTGCTGCCTCGCCAAACGTTTCATTTACTTACTTAAGAAAATAAGAGGACTCTCCCATCAGTGTCTGTATCAAAAATAGACGACACTTGGGTCCGTTTGGTGTGTTTGGGGCTAAAAGCGGCGTTTTCCGGGCTTGCGGCTCCCTCTGGCGGCGCCTCGGTGGAACTGCCGCCCACCGGAGGTGGTGTCACATGAGGGCGCGCGCTCCGCTTGTCTGGCCGCGCGGCTGAAGCGGATGAGCAGATGAGAGAGCGGCTCCGGCGAAGGATGGCGGAGCTCTGATTTAATCACTTCTGGGGGAAAACAAGTGAGCAGGCGAGCGGCGCAGAACTGCCCGAGGACAACCATTCCTCTCAGAGAAAGGTGAGGATGTGTGCGCGCCTTTTTCTTTAATTACACGTCAAGATAAAACGAGAAAAGCGGTGTTGTTCCGAGGAAAATGGCAGAATTTCGCATTTTTACCCTCCTATTTGACGCCGTGTTCGCTAAAGAAGGGCTTATTTATTTATTTTACCGTTATGTAAACATTCCCGCACATTTTTTAAAAATTTTTTATGTGTTTTGCCGTCTGTTTAGAGGTGGAGTTGTAGACAGAGGTTCACTCCTGAAATAGAAAGTCACTACATGTGTTTGTACTGCGGTGCCACCGGCGGTAATCCCGGATTTCCTTTAATCTTCCAGCTCGTGCACGCTCAGCTCAGACAATGAGTGATGATGTCGTGGCAGCTGCTGCACCCTCTCATATATGTATTTCTTTTTTTTATGTTGAGGAGTTATTACTGATTTTTTTTTTTTTTTTAAAAGCATAAATATACTTTTATTTGTTTCTGAGTTGCACATTTTCTCAAGCATCTTTTTTTTAGTCTCCAGGGTTAAAAAAATGTCCACAGCAGCATCTTTTTTTTTTTTTTTTGGCCCAGCTTCCTTCTCTACATCATAGAAAGAACTGCAAATCCTCTCAGTGCCACAAACTGCCATGCAGGGGCGGACTGACTGCTGAATCAACAGCAAGCTGGTCCAAACCCCCCACAACACCACCACCACCTCTCCTTCCCCATTTATATAGCTATATATAAAACACTTTCTACTGCTGCCTCACAACTCCAGGGATATAAAGTTGCAGTTTTCAAGCTCTGGATCAGGCTCCATCGACCCATGCGTGTCAGGAAAATCCGTGACTGTGCGTTATTTTTTGGTGGGGGGTCTGTTTCTGGGGTGTTGTGGAGTGGGCGGCCGGCCCTCCTCTCCTCCCCCCTCCTCCTCTGACGATGACAGCTCAGGGCGCCTGATGATAACGAGCCCTCCGGGCTCTGAGCGCAGAGCCGCGCTCAAAGTTCTGCAGTGCTCCTCTGTCTTTTGCCATCGCAAGTAAATCTGCGTTTTGTGCTCTCTCATCACTTTTTTTTTTTTTTTTTTGCGAGCGGAGCTGTTGGGGCGAGCTGCAGTCGTCGAGCCCCCACCCCGATCCTCCTCCTCTGCTCAAGCTCTTGACAGAATGAGTGCCAGTGTACTAAAGCTGTTTTATTATCGCAGCAGAGGGCATCGGCCTCGCTCTCCGGCCGCCAGCATGATGAAAGGCTGCCTGCAGTTCCTTATCGAGCCGGCCAAGAAGCTCAAGATCAGACTCAAGGTATTGGCACCAAACCGAGAGCCCATTAACACATATATACGTATTATATGTGTGTATGTGTGTGTTATTGACAGGTGATGTGAGCTTCACATATTTCATTCACAGTCAAAAGTTTGCTGGAAGGATAACTTCAGCATACCAGTTACTTTAAGCGGTGCAGCTAGGCTGCTAGAAAAGTCACAATAATTGATTTGGATTCAATAAATATTTTCAGTTTTATTCTTTTTTCTTTCTTTCTTTCTTTTTAATGTTAGTAATAGATGGAGTAGTGCTACTCTTTTTCAGTCATACTTTGGCACATTTCTTACTGAAGTAAAGGTAAGAAGTAGCAGTACAATAAGTAATTAGTGTTTGGTAGTAAGGCGATGAACTGATGAAAACTTCAGTCGTTTAATATTTAAAAGTCGCATCTTGAGACGGACCAGAATATAGAAACAGTTTTAAATTTTGTTGTTTTTAAAGATCCAAATGAAAATAATTCCTACAAGAAGAATAATTAATTGTAAATAAAGCAGCTAAAAAACAATATAATCAAGTTAAAAAAAAAAACAAAATAACATCCAAATTAGTTTCTTTGAACGTAAAGGCTATGAAACGTTAATGAAAGTGTCTGACGAGGTTTTTGGTTAAATTATTCAGTGACATTATTCGCACTGCGGAGAGAATCCAGAAATTTTACTCGAGTGAGAGTAGCGACACTTCATCACAAAGTTACCGAAATTTAAAAAGTGCTGCTTAGTAAAAATACTCATTAAAGTAAACATAACTGAGAAAGTTAGTTACTTTCGAACTCTAAGAGGAAAAAAGTGGTTAAAACATCCTGTTTTTTTATATTTATTTTTTTAATACATAATTAACATGATGAATTAAAAGCTTTGTCAGGATTTTAAAATGCGTCAAATGACACAATAAATGCCCACAGAACCCTGGTCACAATCTGGTGTTTCCCCTGCAGGAGTCTCGTAAGAGAGTGAAGCAGGAGAAGAAGGAGCCGCTGGTGGAGAGCCAGCTGTTCATCATGGAGCTGGGCCGGGAGCTGAACAGAATCTGTCAGGTGAGACACAACAACAAAACCGTCACTTTTTTAAGATGCTGGTAATCGCCAACTGTGGCTTTTAAACAGGGCGGCTCAGTCTCGTGTCATCCTTTCCCAGAGATCCAACATCCTGAGCCACATCTGGACCGGCGAGGACATCTGGCCTGCCGGCGTTTGCAGAGACTTCATCGTGGACTGGGCTGCCATTTTGGAAAAGAGAGTGCAGGTGCCGACGAGGCGCCAAACTGGAAAACAAAAGTCTCCTGCTCTTTCTCAAAACGTTTCCATCTCTCATTTAGCACAAGATCATGCCGTCCGAGTTCCAGTACGAGAAGCCGGAGAAGCGGGACTGGAAGGGCCACCTGCTGTGCATGCTGGAGTCGGAGGGCGAGTACGACATGGGCCCCTACAGGAGAGTCATCTTGGACTGGACCCGAGAGATTAAAAGCAGGGCCCAGGTGAATGCACACAAAGCTAACCAATATGTGATTAAAGTCTGACCCAGTTCCCTGCTCATGTCTGATGAGGATGATTAGTCTGGATAATCCCAATGTCATATCTAGTTTGGAGCTGTCAGCGGTCTCACTGCAGCGTTTGTTTCTTTGTTTGTTTGTGTCCAGCCTCCTGTCTGGCCAGGCGAGCCGGTCCTCATGATGCTGGACGATCTGGAGCTCCAGTGGAAGAAGGGCCGCCTCCCCAACCTGCTGCCGGCCGTGGAGCTCATCATGCTGGCCGTGCTGAACGCCGACAGTCCAGTAAAGGTCTGAACGGGTGTCGGGACCCTGCTAACGTTTACTGCTGCTAATAGAGACGAGCTCATAGCCAAATAGAGTAAAAACACAGCAGATCCGTTTTCGGGTCAGCAGCAATTGGCTCATATGTGGATGAAACGCTGCATGCGAGCTGCTGTATGATGTCCAGTCATGCTAATCCTGTTACCTGGCTGTCCAGGTCACCTTGGCCCGCTTTAGCTTTGTGTTTGTGTGTGTGTGTGTCTGTGTGTGTGTAGGAGGATGTGACCAAGCAGTGGCTGGTGAAGAAGCAGAGGAGCCAGAGGATTGGTGAGTGGAACAGAGATGAACCCCCACATATCAAAATTCAAGTTTTTTCTCATGCATGATTCTTAATTCTTTCAGATGCCGTCCGCTACATCCCACACGGCGGTAAGTTCACATATTCAGGTATTGTGGGAGCAAGTCCCAGTTTATCAAACAGCACAGAACACTGTCTGCAGTCAATGCTACTTGAAAAAGGCGATAACATTCTTCTGTATGGAGTCTATAAAAACTAATAAATAGGGCTATGTAGGGGTACTTCTAATTCTTTTTTTCCAGTTGCATGATGATCCTGCACAATGGAGTCTCAACTTCCACATGCAGCAACATAATATAAGAGGCAGAAGGGAGGGGATGTTTAGAAAAGACAGAAAGGAAAGAAATCCTCCATTTGTGTCTCGGTTGGTCCTCATTTGTCAACACTAAAAGTTTAAAAAGTCCAGAAAATAGATAGGAAAAGATACCTAAGGTACAGATAATCATTGGTCTCCTCCTTCATATTTTTGTGTGGTAATAATTCATCCATCTACTGTATTATTAATCATAAGGCATTACTTCATGGTTTGTTCCATCAGAGGGAAGTTAAGCAGGTGTTAGGAGTGCTGCAGCAAAATAATGTCAGACAGCTGCAGCACCAAAGCTCTGGCTGAAAGGTTACACTTATAACTGTTGGGAATTATACATCATTAAGTGATTCTCAGCCCTGGATGAACGTACACAGCCAGTAAATCCATGTGAAGCCAAGAGTTTGCAGTTCAGGCAAACGGAAAAACAAAATCCACCTGGGAAAAAAGTTGATCCATCTGTTGGCTGTTGCTGTTTTATTAAGCTATATTATATATTTATGCATGACTGATTTGTTTAAAGTGCTGCTTGTGGCTGGATAAGGTGTTCCTGACCTGTTGTCAAGGTGTTTCATTAGGTTAAGTTGTAATGGACCAAGTGGGAGCAATAATGGTTTAAATCCTGAATGTCTTCATTAAGGCACAATGCTTCACATTCTATATTTTGCTAGGTTATTAGGGCAATATGTTGCTATTTTACCTCGGTGACGCATTGCTTAATTAGTGCGTGGTATTGCTTTTTTACCCAATGCATTCATTGTTTTGTTTATTTGGGTAAGGCATTGCTAATCAAACAAGACACTATTGTCGTCCGTTTTCTGTGTTTGGATCAGAACTGGATAACCTGCAGGTCCTCGCCTTTTATTTTTTAAATTTGTGGTCCAGTATAGAATGAAAATTATGAGTTAAAAGTCTGAAAATGCAAGAAACAGAAATGGCACTGAAGCAAGGAGGTTCATGAACCAATTCAAATTAGTTGGTTTGAGAAGGTTAAACATGAATATCACATGGATAGAAATTGTTGTGGACTCTAATATTTACTGTTGGGGTTTTTTTAATCTGTGATTTAAGAATACAAAATCAGCTTTCGCAAATCTTTATATTTTTCTTCTTTACAGTCTGGAATTGGATTTGCGATGCATCAGGTATGAAAGTCATCTCATTGTTCATCACAGGCGCAGCTTCAATCTGTCATGTAATGGTTTCTGTTGGCTTTGTGTCTCCAGAGGATGTGATCCTGGACTCAGACTCTGCCAACCCCAACCTGCTCATCTCCACTGACGAGAAACGGCTGAGGTGCGGCCTGGAGCGCCGCGTCGTCCCGCCCTGCACGGGGCGCTTCGATGGCTGGTGGTGCGCCGTGGGCAAGGAGGCCTACTCCTCCGGACGCCACTACTGGGAGGTGGAGGTGGGCGAGAGGGACTGGCGTCTGGGCGTGGCCAAAGCCTCCGCCGTGAGGCAGGGCTTCCGCTCCCTGAACACGGACACGGGATACCTGACCATCCGGCTGGAGAGGGGCACGGATCTGAAAGCCCTGACCGTGCCCGCCACCCTCTTACCCCAAAATGCGACACCCAGAAAAGTCGGGGTGTATCTGGACTACGAGCTGGGCCAGCTGTCCTTCTACGATGTGGAGAAGCGATCGCACCTGTACACCTACAATGAGAACTTCACAGAGGAACTGTACCCCCTGTTCGGGACGGTGGAGGTGGTCAAAGACCTGGTGGTCCGGCCCGCGGGCGTGCGGCAGCCGTGCCTCTGCCCCGGGCCGTGCTTGTGGACCTGAGCCGCTCGTCGGTCTCTTCAAACCTGATTCTCCACAGCCCACCGAGTCTCGCGGTGAGGTGCCTGGTGAGATCAGGATCCAGAACTGCCACCCATCCACATTACACTTTGTGTTTCTCTGCCTTCATGGAGACTTAGTGAATTGGACTCTTTGTATTTTACTGCTAAATGTTTTAAGCATCAGGTAAAAACAGCCATTTTGTGGTAATTTTTCACTCTGAGCTTTTTGTGAAACATCTAGAACATAAAAAACCCCATTAGACTTTCATACTACGCATTTTTATCGGCCATTTTTCATGACTTGAAGTTTAAAGTGGGAGCATAAAGGCTCCTGGTGCAGTCACGCTGTCCCTGTGTCTTAGCAAGTGCTCCTCTGCAGATAATCAGACTGGACTGACGCATGTGAGCTCTTAATCTGCCTGATTCTTCTTCTAAAGCTTCCCGCAAACACTTCCAGGCATGAGCTTGTTTATGCATCTGTGCTGTTGTTGTTGTGCTAAATATGATGATGGTGAACATGAATAAATCAGAAATGCCCCATTTTGTCTGTGATCTCACACATAAGTAATGCAAAGTGAGTCATTAGAAGAAGTCACTGTTTTTAATATAAATCTTTATTAAGTGCAATATAACTGATGTACAAAAAATGCTTAAAAATGGACCTGCTTAAATGGGAATGATACATGCTGAGTAAAAATTGTCTGAACTGTTCAACTTATATCTGTATATTTATGAAAAATCTGAAAATGTTTCCAAAAAAAACAATTTCTCATGAACCCAAAGTACAGTAGAACCTGCAGCAAGCAAATACAATCTTTGTCTTTAAAGAAACTTTCTCTGGTATCATGTCTCACATTAATCTACTGAACTGGAAAATGCTGAATTAGCCACATAAAGAAAATGCATAAAACTACAGCTGTCATGAAGTGCAGACATTTTAAATGCAAACATGTTTCATTTCTGATGCCTTGTTAAACTCATGCATGCCCTGGGCTTGCGACCGGCTAGTGCGGCTGTAAACAACCAGAACTGTAAAAAATGAAAATGTACGAGTATATCTTGAATGGAAAAAAAAACTCACACACTTTAATACAATAATTTATAAACGAAAGCCCTTTAAAATTCCACAGTGACAGAAAAGGTAAACCTCTCAAACATTTAAATTTGAAGTTGAAACTTGGATGACAGAATAGGGATGTTATTTTTGGATTATTGAGCAGATAGTTGGGATTATGATAACTTCTTTAAAATCCTGGTGTGTTAGAGGATGTCGGCCAACAGAGGGACTACTCACACACCAGGTTACAAACTCTAGGGAAAGAAGTCAGAAACTACAATAAAGTGGGAAACTGAGGGGGAAAACAAGGTGGCCACAGTCTGTAACAGTAAAAAAAGTGGCCTTTACTTTCAATTTGATTGATTTGGTTGCGCCGTCTTACCCTATACACACGCACATGTGCAAACTCTGAAACACTTTCTTGCGCTTTGGCTTTGTGATTCTCAGGCTGGATGCGCTCAGGAGCATCGCTCACACAAGTTCCTAAGAATCATAAAACATTCTCTTTGTGACGGTGGAGGTTCCCGTCACGCTCCTCTGAACCACTTCCCGAGTGACCTGGCGGCTCACCATGCTGCCCGTCTCCGTGAGCTGAGTCATCATCATCCCATCTGTTGACAGAGAGCAGCTCCTGTTTAAGACGCCGGATTATAAGAGACGGTGTTGACTTTTTTCTTTTTGTTTTACCTGAGAAGTAGGGATCGGTGATCATGGTGTGGGAGACGTTTGTTCTTGTGGTCGTTTCTGTAGGCATTTGGAAAACTTCCCTCCTCGTCAGTGATTGGTTGTTGTACTGAGACAAGGCGCCTACAGGAAGCAATGAGGGCCAAGTGAAATCAAACTTTGGTTTTAAGATGGCAAAGGTGTTATTTGATATCAAACTGTTCAAATCCACTGAGTCAAAAGAGTACAAACTTTAAACTTCACCATCTTTGCACATCTAGAAACTTTTTTTTTTTTTCCATTCCTCTTTACAAAATGCTTCCTGCTCAATCTGAATGGAGAACCACACACCAAAGCATAAAGTTTGTGGCTATAATGAAAAATATAAAAAAGTTTAAGAGCTATAGACATAATCAAAATTAAATGTTATCTGTATAGCACATTTCAGCAGCAAGGTGTTTCAAAGTGCTTTACGTCATAAACAAAAAGTCATGCAACATAGAATCAACAATCAAAATGTTACGTTGAGTCAAGTGCCATCATTAAATTCGTATTTGATTACATTTCAAAACAATTCCTTCACAATCTCCCACCTCCATCCTGAGACTCGATGGTGATGATGCCCTCTCTCTCGGGGCCGAAACCCTGCGTGGTTTGAGCCTGAACCTTGAACTTGTACGGGACGTTCTCGGTCAGGTTTGGGACAGTCAGACTGGTCTCAGCGTTGTTGCCGCTTACACTGAAGGAGCGCATGTCGCCTAGGCAGAACAGAATCATGATCGAACACAGAGAAACCTGCAAGGTGCACAGCAACAACATGACTTTTTTTTGGTTTATTTTTGCCTCACCTCCACCATGTAGCTGTTCACAGGTGACCCTGTAGCTCAAGATGTCCCCGTTGGGCTTCCGTGGTTTTTCCCAGGTGAGCTGCAGTGAATCGGGGCTCAGGGCTGTGAACACCAGCGGCCCCGGAGCGCTGGGCGTACTCAGAGTGAACGGCGAGCCTGGACAGAGGTTACAGCTCCGGTAACGCCATAAAAACAAACTTTTCTCTGAGCTAGGAGTGCGATGCAGCAGAGCCGGTACCTGGCATGGGACTGAGGGGACTCTTGGGGTCCACAGCTGACTCGATGGTGATGACTCCCTCCCGTTCCGGACCCCAGCCCTCCTGACTCTGAGCCTTCACCTTAAACAGGTAGGAGTGGTTGGGCAGCAGGTCGTGGATGACCACGGCGTTCTCGGCCGGGTTGGTCACATTGAGGCGCTTCGTCTCTCCTACTGGGAGACAAAATGGTGGTTACGGCGGGAACGCCAGGCCGATCTGAGAGCGGCCCCAAAGGCGACGACGACGGTAAACGGACCTCCGTTGAGCAGCTGGTAGAGAACGCAGTATCCCAGGATGTCTTTCTCACAGCGTGGCTCCTGCCAGCTGACTTTCAGCGCCGTCGGGCCCAAGGCAGAGAACACCAGCCTGCTGGGTGTGTCTGGGACGCCCGGAGAGAGGCGGGCGTCTGCACGGACACAGAAAGGTTCATATGAGAAAACCTCAGATGTAGGTCATTTGTTTCTGTTTCAACCCAAAGAAAGAATAAAAATAGTATAAAAAAAATAACATTGTTGTTCTGAGGGCATCTCCAAGATATATTGATAATTGTACAATATGAACATTAGCAAATGTCAGACACAGACTGCCCAGAAGTACAAAAGCAGCACCTGCAAAAATGAACTGAAGCTAAACATTTGCTGAAAAGATAAAAAAAACAGAAACAAATATGATTTTCCTTTTATCCAAGCAATTTTAACTGACACACATTCACTGTATTTAGTAAAATGTAGAAAATGTATGATTGACTGCACAGTTAATCTAGGTTTAGACGTCATAATTTTATCAATGAATTATTCTTCCTTTGGCAGATCATTTTAGCCACTGAAACCAACAGCATAAACACAGACTGACTCCATGTATGTCAGATAATTAGTGAAGCAGAAATGAAGATGAGTCAGAGCAGTGCTGCTTTTCGCATGAATTTAGACAATTTGCAGGAAATTGCCAGAATTCTGAAGTGGCATAAAATATTGCTCCATCCGCACAAAGCACTTTGAACGCCCCTCCTGTTCTCAGCAGCAGGGGGCGCCGACTCTCCACTGACAGGACACGTTGCTTGTGCTCTCTCCTCGCTGGTGCCACCCTGGGCGACTGCCCATATTTAAAAAAAAACGCCGCTGACAAAGATGGCTGCCTTCATGCATGAATGTGGAGGACTTACCATGGAGCACGCTGTCCAGGCTGTATAGGGCTTCATTGACCTCTGATGACTGAGTCCTGGCCCTGGAGCCCTGAGACAGGCTGTAGCTGTACTGGGTCTGAGAGCTGCTCTGCAAGCCAGCGTAGCCGAACCCACCTGATGGCGCGTTTAGCAGAGGGAGGAGGAAGAAGGTGGCAGGAGGACGAAGAACACGGAACAGCAGGAAGGGAGGGAAGTAAACAGAAAGCAGAGCGACAGTCAGCATAGCGGCCCCAACCCTGCTGACAGATGTCCAAGCCTTCAGTGTCATGCGCTCACACAGTTTACCCGCCATGTCCGAACAATTATTACGTGGCAAGATAAATGTCTTGCCACGTTTATCTTGCATTTGGTCCAAACTCACTGGACATAGGTCTGTTGGGCTGTGACGCCAAGTTGATGGTAGCGTCTCTGTAAGGGCCCCAGGCTACGCTGTTTTGGTTTATCTTGCCACAAAAAGTGGCAAGATAAACGTCTTGCCACTTTTTGTGAACTTGTTCACAAAAAGTGAACAAGTTCAGTCTGTCTTCTGCAGAGACGGGAGGAACTGAACACTGTGATCGGAGGCTGGGTGGAAACTCACTCAGGTCTGGGAACTTATCGTCTCCTATGACGATGGAGTCCCGGATATTTTCGTCTGCGTATCCTCTGTTCTCTGAGCGCTTCCTCATCAGGACTTCGGTTGTGTGGATCCCCCCTCCAATCACGTCCTGCCTGCGGGGGCTTCCTGCGCAAGGACAGAAAGAGAGAGAACGCACTGGAGGCGGGCTGATTGATCCAAAACATCGATAATATTGGATATCGGATTGATACTGCCGTGATAAGATTAAGATCTAGAAACTAGAAAATATGTTACTTGCTCTGAAATGACAATATATGGACTTTACTTATTTAAGACAAATGTACAGGTGGACAATATAGTTACTCAGTATGTTGTTGCTAGGTGACCAAAGAGCAAGAGACTTTCTTACCTGGCCCAGTCATGTAGGTGGTGTGCATGTCTGTGGTGAAGGAGCCGCCTGCTCCACCTTTGTAGCTGGAGCTCAGGGTGGACATGGGAGAGGATGACGCTGACAGGTTGCGGGTTGTCGAGCCTCCTGGGAAAAGGAAGTTCTGCTCCCACCTGCCGTTCGACATGTAATCTGCAAGACACGACGGTCAGAGCCAGACTGGTAAAAACGCGGGCCGCCGTCACCTGTTTGGTTTTAACAGCTGTTGATGGGAAGCACCTAAAGAAATGGATTTTTGCACCCAGATGAAATTATACACACATAGACTTTTTACTAATTAGATGATTTCCGACGTTAGCTGGTTTTAGTGGGTTTCATTTTGGAGCTGGGATCAGAGAAAAGAGGCCTGAATATGAACCTACGTCACACCGTGAATTTGATATCTGCAAAACCTGCGTAGGATTTTTCTATTCTTCATAATCGTGCGCGGCGTTGTGTCGGCCTTTCTCATAAAATCCTAATAAAGTGGAATAAGGTCGGCGCATTCATTTATTTTGGGATCATGAATATTATCAAAAGGTTAGT